GTATAAGCTTTTGTGTGCACGCACACTTCTTCAGATACAATGAAATGGAAATTACCAGTCCATACATTAGGGTTGCCAAATCTAATTTACTCACCGGCGGGGGGAGCGTCTTCTCGCTCCGGGAGCTGGCTGGGGATGTGTGCGTGCGTGCCGCCAGAACGTCACCGGAAGTGATGCACAACGTGGCACGTTGGGGGCGTGGCCAAGATTGTCGGGGGGAACCATATGGTTTCCCCCCCCCCGACGATCTGGGCCACGCCCCCAATGTGCCCTACGTCGTGCGTCACCACCGGCGACACAGCTTTGGGGGGCGGGGTTCCCCCCGGGGCCCGATTCCGTTGCATTGGAAATCGGGCCTCCAAAGTGGGGAATTCCCCGCCCCCCGGGCCCATTTGGCAACCCTACCATACATATAGCAGTAAATTAGCATACGGCATAATGGAGATGTTTAAAAGATTCAAAGACCAAACAGGAATAACAAGCTTAGTTTATATGGGTACCATTTGTTTGGGTTTAATTCCAGGGGTGGGGGAACATAGTAAAGGAAATAAATATGTCAAAATTTGGAGACTAATGGGCCATTGTATTCTGAATTGTGGAATGCTGGGGGTAATTAACTGAGACCCTGCCATTACACTCCACCCGTCTCCTCTCAAGCATGGAAGTGACCTTTTAATGTTGCAATTTATTATGGTTTTATGACTTTTATTATTATTTATTGTTATCATTGTTATTTTATCCTGTTGTAAGCCGCCCTGAGCCAGCCATGGCTGGGAGGGCGGGGTATAAATATAATAAATAAATAAATAAACCTCTTCATTTGTGCCGTATGCTAATTTACTGCTTGCCCTCTACCTATATGTATGGACTGGTAATTTCCATTTCATTGTATCTGAAGAAGTGTGCATGCACACGAAAGCTTATACCTTGAATAAAACTTTGTTGGTCTTAAACGCGCCATTGGACTCAAACTTTGTTCTGCCACTTCAGACCAACACGGCTACCTACCTGAATCTATCCTTGCTAAGAGTTCCTCTGGAAACAAGATCACTTTTGACACCCTGTTTACACTTAACTCTAACTTAAAATTATCACTTTCTTCCCCCCCCCCCCCCGCCGCCGCCATTTTAAAGACAAATATTTTGTTCCACATGGGAGCTCACAGAGTACACTCTGTTCTCTCTTTTTTAAAACTGACCTGTAACTTGTATCTGTGTCTACAGGCTCATTTCCGATAGATTCCCAGCCTGCCATTCCTCATGAATGAGCAGCATAAAGCAGCACAGCATAGTGTTATCACAACACTTTCCCCGCCTCTCAGTTCCTCCAAGGACATTTTATTATTTCTTCTCCTGCCATGTTTCCCCATTTGCCATGGGAACCATCCACAAAGCATTACTGCAAAGCCGTGGAAACAAGCCACGTTCTCCAAATAACACTTTGAGTCTTTGTCGGGTGCACGTGGCTCGTAGCCCAATGCTCTCGGCTTGTATATCAAGTCACCAGTGTGTTTCAGTCTCTTTGTCTCCTTAATAAGGTTTCCTCCTTGTTATCGTGTAGCAAAACAAATTCTTGAATAACCAGAAATAACACCACACTGTGTCTTATCCCACTTCCTTCAATGTGTGTTAGATAAAAATATATCCACATGCTTTCTGTGAGTAGCTCATCATAGCAAAGTAGTGAGCAAAGAGAGTTATTTCCTTACTAATATAAAATACTCCCTTCACTGTGTTTTTCAAGTGTACTGCCACAAATTATCCAATTAGTTTATGCATTTACCTGTTGCCATACTATATGCCCTGTAATATCAGCATATAATATAACATGGACAGAACTCATCATTCATTGTTGTAAAAAAGCAAATCCATTTCTGTGTTGCCTTGCATGTTTGTGACTATAATGTGATCTGCAAGCTGGTTAAAACTTTTTTTTTTTTTTAAGAAAAAATGAGTTAGACTTTGGCTTTCATTATCTCATGTATCTTCTGACTGAGGTATTGTGTACGTTCCATATCCACAAATCCACAAATCTTACCAGAGGGTACTGGAGGTAAGACCTAAACTAGGTTTCCCTTGCTCGAAAGCCAGTTGAATCCAACTTTAGGGTTGCGGTGCTCATCTGCGTTTCCAAGCCAAAGAACCAGTGCTGTTCGAAGACGTTTCCATGATCATGTGGCCGGCATGACTAAACGCCAAGGCGAATGGAACGCTGTTACCTTCCCACTGAAGTGGTATCTATTTATCTCCTTGCAATGTCTTGCTTTCGAACTGCTAGGTTGGCAGGAGCTGGAACCAGAGAAGGGAGTTCACTCCATCATGTGGCACTTGGGTCTCGAACTGCTGAACTACTGACCTTCCAGCCTGCAGTTCAGCATCTTAACCACTTGAGCCACCACAGCTCCAGGCCAAGACCTCAACTACGTTACATTTTACACATGATTATCATGGGGAGTTTACAGTGGCAGCTCAGCTTAGATGTACCTCAGAGGCCCGATTTGTTTTGGGACCATGGTTTAGGGGAGGAGGGACACCTTCTTCCCTCCTGCACTTTCCCAACCCGAAACAGCCCCTGGGGGCATTATTTGTTATCTATTGGGATCATGTGTAAAAGCATGATATATAGTTTGAGATGGGGAATGATAAGGCATTTGGTTCTGAAGGGTTCTTCTTGCAAGGTTTGTACACTGCATGTTTGAAGACATGTGTTACTGAGTATGCAGACTGGGTCTGGATCCTGTGTCACATGTAACACAGTTGTATGTGAATTATTGGTTCTCCTCAGTTCCTGTATGTGCAGTGCCCAATTAAGATCAGGACCATGATATATATGAAGAAGGGATAAAGCTGCCAAGTCCCCCTGGGAGGCAGAAAACCCCCCACCGCAGAGGCCTGTTCCCCAATGCCGGGGAATTGGGCCCCGGGGGGAACCCCGCCCCAGCATGCACATCACAGGGAAGTGACGTTATGACGCCGGGCACGCTGGGGGCGGGGCCACAGCCATACAAGGGAAAATTCTATGGTTTTCCCTTGTATGGCTGTGGCCCCGCCCCCAGCGTGCCCAGCATCATGACGTCACTTCCCTGTGACGTGCATGTGGCGCGCGTGTGCCGGGATCCGCACGGGAGTCCCCCACCGGCAAGGTGCCACTTGGCAACCCTAAGAAGGGACCCTGGCCTTCCCTGTTGTGTCAGTCCCAAGTGCTCACTATTTGGGGTCCACGTTTTCCTTGAGATCCAAGAGAGCTGCACCAACAAGTGTCCTTAGGATGGTTTCAGGCTTTTTCAATATTACTCTTATATATGACACAGGGTGGGAATGCAGAATCAGCTGTGATCACCAGTTTAAATCTCAGCTACAAACCTGCATACACTTGCTCACTAGGCAAGCCACTCTCTCATCCTCAGTCCCCCATCTGAGAGAGGATCATACTGGCCCATCTTACAGGATTGTTGAAAGGGGGTTCTGTGGTACTGAACTGAAGCACTGACAGTACTATTAAAATACTGCATTGTCAATTTATTTTTAGTAACATGTGATCTTTGATGCACCTACAAGGTCTCCAGTTTGGTGTAGTAGTTAAGTGCGCAGACTCTAATCTGGGTTTGATTCCCCACTCCTCCACTTGCACCTGGCTGGATGACCTTGGGCAAGTCGTAGTTCTGATAAGAGCTGTTCTTGAAAAAGAGCAGTTTCTGTCAAGAGCTCTCTCAGCCCCACCTACCTCACAGGGTACCTGTTGTGGGGAGGGGAAGGGAAAGGAGCTTGTAAGCCGCTCTGAGACACCTTTGGGTAGTGAAGGGCGGGGTATAAATCCAATCTCTTCTCTTCTTCTTCTTCTTACTTCCGGGAGGGTTCAAGTTTTGAGTACAGATGGTGTTTAGAAAGCACTCGATTTCCCATATACTAATGGGCTATGTTGGCTTTGCTTGTAATGAATAAACTAGCCTTCCTTGCTTTGAGTCTTGGGGCATCTTAGAGACTTTCATATTGAGTTTCACAAGGGCTACAATTGTTCAGAGCAAAAAGAGCCCTCAGGATGCTAATTTCCTGACATGCCTGGATATAAATTGTAATCCCTGTACTTGGATTCTATAAGCATAGCTGACTTGCTTTTGGTTCAGTGTTGCTTGCTACTTATTTGTAGACTTGTGATTATTGGTTTGTGTTCATCTGGTTATCAGAGTTTAATACGATACAGAGCTTAGCCTCTGGGATTTATTTTCAGTGCTGGAAACAGCTTGGGACTTTTAGTACTGATAAAACCAAGAATACCCTTTAAGTTTCTGTAGAGTACCTCTTCCTTTGTATCTGAGTTAACCACAAAGATCTGGGATTCAGGTTCAAGAGCATTCAGACTGAAAGGACTGACTCTGAGGATCTAAAACCTGGCACCTAAAACCACATGAAAATGTAACCCATGAATGTGGCATTAATATACTAACCTAGTTGAGTCTTTCCTTTCTATTTGTTTGTCTCTAAATGCCAAATTTGTTCTTGAATGCTGACACAAAATCTGATGAGGTTATTCCACTTTTCCCTTTTTGTGTCTCTACAATAGACTGTCTCTAAATGATTGATTAGCTTTGGCTGCATCATAACGAACATGTCCATTCAATAAATGTACAGCCTGGAAAGGAACAGAGTATTAGGTCATAAAAGAATAGGAAACATCTACCATATGCTTTATTTTTATGGTTTGGGTCTCCATCTAGAGAATGGATTCAGATGGCCAAGAACTAGCACTAGGGTGGCCCCTATGTAGCCGTGTACCACCTGCTTCCCAGCTATGGTAAGTCTGGGAGTGGAAATATTTATGACTGGATTGTTGAGTCATGAACTTTCAATGTATAATTAACCTTGAATCTTCAGATTCTCAGCACAAAGGATGGTGGTTGTAAAGAAGTCAAGATTGCAGAAGAATGATGTGTGTTTCGGTATAACCTCTATAGATAGTGTTTTAAAAAAATCTCTTCATATCTTTTTTCTTTCTTTCCATAGATGTCTATTAGCCAGCAACAATCAGGAAGAGGCGTGCCTTGCTTAAGATGTAAAGGGATGTGCACAGGCTTTGAGCCACATTCTTGGAGGTAATAAATCTATCTAATGTGTTGCATTTACCCCCAGTTTGTCTCTGTCATAACTTGGGCTGAGTTTAGTACCACCATACCCAAATACCAGTTACATAACACAACAGAATGTGAATCCATTTTGATCTTTGGGGGGGCAGGGAATGCTATGACTTCAGTGAGGTATAATTTTGCTAGTAGACTGTGCACTAAGCTTACTGTAATGGATCTGGAAAAAGTTGATAATACCTTAATATTTTCATGGCACCCTTTCCCCAACTAATAACGCTGTAATGTTCATATAGTGGCCTTCCTGAAGCGTTTTTGTACACTTCCTCTGTAGTTATTGGGAACGAAGGTGACATGGTATAGCCCAATCTCATCAGATCTCAGAAGCTATGCAGGGTCAGTACTTGGAGGGGAAATCACCAAAGAGGACTCTGCAGAGGAAGGCAATGACAAACCACCTTTGCTTCTCACTGGCCTTGAAAGCCCCTTGCTGGGGTTGCCATAACTCAACCGTGACTTGATGGCACTTATGTAATACATACTTCTGTAACTGGAAAATATCCACAAGGCCATCACTGAAGCACTAAATTTAAAATACGTACAGTTATCTCAGTGGAACAAACAGAATGGAAGCAACATTTTATGTGCTTTCTCTAGTCGATGGCTTTTCTTCATTTTTTTCCCTTTTCAGATTTCCAGGATTTAGTCACTGACCTCGTAGTCCTTAGTTTGTGGCTTTTGTGCTTTGAGTCATTACACTGTTCTTTGTCAAAAGGTCAGTGTATATAAATTTGTTCCTTGACTTTGCTCTTTCTGATAGTGGGTAGCAGTTAAGACATTCCAGTCAAAGGACACCAGTCTTTCGGCAGTTATGTCATCTTTCAAAAATGTCACATTCTTTGAGCCTCCACTCCCAAGGGTACAGTTTAGAGTCACTCGAATGACCCTTCTGAATGAAAATATTCAGGCCGCTTGATGGATCTCTTCAGCTGGCATTCTCACAAACTATAAAGTATGTAGTGAATGTGGCTTGTTTTGATTTCAGTGGAAAAACATTTTCAGACCAGTGATCCACAATGCATGTAAAATTCAGCATCATTCCTGTTTGGTTTTTTTTTTTTTTGGAGTAATATTGATTGAAGATAGGTGGTCTCCCGCAAGGATGACCTTCTGTGCCCTGCCAGAAACTCAAGGATTGCTCACTCTGAAAAGGCTCCTTCTATCTAGGTAACATTGTTGGCTAGACTTTTTGTCATTGTCATTGTTGTCAAGATTTCTTATTGCTACTTGTGCATTGCACAAGGTTGAATTTAAAGAAAATTCCAGGGGGGTTTGTTGGTTGTCTAGGTGAAAGTGAAAAAGAGGTTTTCCTGACAAATCCTTGAGATTTTCTTAAATTTAATTCAAATTAAAAGATTTTTCCTTTTTTTCCCTTTTGTGATATGGCTCTTCTTGGCCACAGCCTTTAACCTAATCCCACATGGGGTGGGGGACTCTCTCTCCAGTCGCAGAAGTATTTTATTTTTTTTTAGTTTAAGCTGGGTTGCTAAAAAGTAGGACACCAGTGACTTGGTGATATATGGGTCTTTAGAAGAAAAGATAGGCTCCAATTAATATTTGTGAGCTCATTTTTCTCAAGTATCGAGGTAATCCATCTCTGCCTCTCCTCGTTGAAATTGGGACATTCAATAACTAGATGAGCCAAGGTACCTGTCTTCCTCGTGATGCAAAAATATCAATGTTCTGAAAAGGGAACTCCCAAAAAGTGACCTTTCATTTCTGAGGTTAATACAGCATTCAGTCTAGCAGCCAAAAAAAAATCTCAATGTCGGAGAACCGTCATGGACTTTGAATATGCTGGTAAGGTAGCTAGAGGTTCATCCATTGTAGGCAAGGGAACATACCCTTCTTGCTCGCTGATTCGTGCTTCTGAAATCTAGCATCAATAGCTGCTTTTTGACCCTTTGGAATACAGTTTTCTCACTTCTCATCAAAAGTAGTAAAGCTGGAGTAAAGCTTAGTTGTTCCAGTCTCTGATAGACCAGTCTCTTCCCATTTACTCCTGGAAGGGATCTTCTCCTAGTCTAAAAAAGAGTTTAGATCTATAGTTAAAAAGAATCTTGATCCTGGGTCTAAATATGTCCAGACTGATTCTAATGAAGGAATTGCAAATTCTTGGGAAATAGCTGTACTGGATACAGCCTTTGGTAACCTGGTTATTTTTCTCAGGAATTTAAATAAGAATGAATCAATAGTCTCAGATATACCTTCCACCCACACTCTGGTGCCATAAAGTATCATTTGATTAATCTTATCCCAAAAAGTCCTTATGGCTCCTGGGTAGTGCTTCCCTCATTCTGTGTGTGTGTGGGGGGGGGAGGGACGTGTCAAGGCATTTAAACATGATGTTATTTTATGAGAGATTGGAACTGATTTTTCCAAGATCGGTCTTGGGAGAATATCATTCATAAATATCTAAATGTTGTTACTTGTTCAGTGTTGGTATTTGCCATCCTCCTGTCCTTTTTCTTTGGTTGGCATCCTCTTGCGACGACAACTGCTTTTGATTTCTCAGCATTTATAGTTAAACTTTCATCAGCAAGCACAGTAGGAGATTTGGGGGTACAGCCTTAAGGAGGGCAGGGATTGGAGGAGAGGGACCTCATCAGGCTATAATGCCCTGTAGTCTGGAGAGCAGTTGCAATTCTGGGACATCTCCAAGCTTCACCTAGAGACTGGCAACCAATGTTCCCTCTAAGCTGAGTTAGTGTGAGCTAGCTCACAGTTTTTTAGCCTCTGGCACACTTCCCCCCCCCTCTTAGCTCAGGAAGGATGGCTCCAGAGGAAACTAATGCAGTAGCCAAATCGCTCACTCACAACTTTAATGCCAGTAGCTCACAAAGTTGAATTTATGCTCACAAGACTCCACAGCTTAGAGGGAGCATCGCTGGCAACCAGGCCTTCTGCGTCAATACATAATATATGTTTTTCTTTTAAAAGTTGTTTACATCATGCCATGCTTTACATTTAACAACTGGAAGACCACGGAGAGAGGAGAAGAAAGAGGGAACAAGAGATGAGTGCAAACAAATTCAGTTGCTTAAGTTCTGCTTATTGCTGTGCAATATACTTAGAATCAGAGAGCTGGAAGGGGCCATTCAGGCCATCTAGTTCAGCCCCTTGCTCAATACAGGATCAGCCTAGAGCATCCCTGAGAGCCAGTTTGGTGTAGCAGTTAAGAGCGGCGGACTCTTAATTTGGAGAACTGGGTTTGATTCCCCACTGCTCCACATGCAGCTGCTGTTCTCTCAAGAGCTCTCTCAGCCCCACCTACTTCACAGGGTGTCTGCTGTGGGAAGAGGAAGGGAAGGAGATTGTAAGTAACTCTGAGACCCCCTTCTTAGTGTTTGTCCAGCCACTGCTTAAAGACTGCCAGTGACAGGGAGCGCACCACCTCCCTAGGTAGCTGATTCCACCGTTAACACTTACTGTAAAAACGTTTTTCCTAATATCCAGCTGGTTCCTTTCCACCTTTGTTTAAGCTGCAGCTCTTCTCTGAGAATTGCTTCAATTGCATACTCTGAAGTCGGTTGTAAGTGACAAGCAAGAACTATAAATAATCTAGTGCCTTAATGACTGCATTACCCACAAGTACGATACTATCATGGCAAAAAGATGGGCTTCATTTCATTAAAAATTATAAGTCGTTTTTCACTGTGGACCACTCTGAGATGTGGTTTCAGAAATGCTTTTAAAAGGAGCAATCTGGATTGAAGTCACTGGGACGTCGATTCCATTTGCTAGTTTTGATAGTGCCAGTATATCATCCTATTCACATAAAAACACATGCTCGGCTTCACCTACATTATGGCTACTCTCAAGCCAGGAAATGCTTTTTAATAACCATGATGGTATTACCTGCTGTTGATGCAAGTGGCAGCCACATATAAAATCTGAAAGGATATACTCTCTGCCTTATGACCTGCAAAGTAGAAGAATATAAAATTTAAACATGCTTTGTTTTGGATCCATGCCTCTCCCGCACAGGTCAAGAGCATGACAAATTTCCCATTGTTTTAAAAGAAAAGCTGCCTCAAGGAATTCTGAGAATTGGCATAATAGAAGGGCCACTGGTCAGTCAAGAGGACACACACAAGGTTCTCGGTCTAGTCCTTAACATCTCTAATCCAAAAGACCTTGGTTTGGGAAGACCCCTTCCTGATACCTTGATTAGTAATTATTTGGGGAAATGTACATATTGCTTTTCAACAAGTGTTCCTCAAAGTAATGTACATAAAGGGCAAGCTTAAGTGAATCAGGAAAGTGAACAACTGAAACTAACAAAATGAAGACCGCTCTTCATGAACCGATCTAGGCATGAAAGAGAAGCGCCTTGTTGCAACTTCGTCAGTTGTAGCAGAAAATTTTGGACTAGTTGGGAATGACTGGGTATTAAGAACATGTTATACGTTTACAGTCCTTTTGGAGTTTGATGAATGCTACAATTCCCTGGTCAGCAACTAATTTTCCTGGAGAATCACTTGGAAAAACGACCAAGAGGTGATAGGCTAGAGTGTGATTATCCAAGTAGGCTCTTGCCTCTGGAAAGCTCTTTTGCTAAAGACATCACTTTATCTCTTCCTCTGGTAGGTTTGCCAATTCTGACTTGGAAAATTCTTTGATTTGTGGGTGGTGCCTTGGGAGGGCAGAGTTTGGACATACAAGAGCTTCGTTGGTATGTGATTCAATAAGAGCCTGCCCTCTAAAGTTGCCATTTCCTCCAGGGAAACTGATCTTTAACATCTGGAGATCAGCCATAATTCTGAGTGAAGTCCAGTTCCTACTTTGAGGTTAGTAATTCTAGCAGTTAGCAAACAAAGTTTGAGTCCAGTGGCACCTTTAAGACCAACAAAGTTTAATTCTGGGTATAAGCGAGAACTGAGTGACTTAGTATCTGTAGTGAGATAAGAAGCCAATAAATTCTGAGGGTTCCATTGTCCTGAAGGGCATTG